GCCACAGCATATCAACAGCTCACGCTGGTTAATCAGCGCCATCTTAGTAATAAAATCAAAGTGTGATGATGTTGTCATCGCTAACAAGTTAATCCGGTACTACAAGGCCCAGGTCTTAGCCTCATAGTCTTGCATCACCCAAATCTCTATGCTGGCATCATTTCTGCTGCATGAAGCAAGCTTGTTGTCCATCTCCAACAACGACACACGACTGCCAAACTGTTCAGGATTGCGCATCCATCGGAATGTCTCAGTTACTATGTCGAATACCGTAATGTCCACGGCAGTCTCCATCCAGCGTCTTGTTAACCAGTGCAGGTTGCCACGGTGGTTGACTTGTGAACTATAGCAGGAATCAAAAGCCCCTTGTCGCCTGCATTTTGGCAGGCATGATGACACTGATGGTCGTCTGATGATTCTCGGCTTGTTGGATCCTATATGGTGAGAACATAGCCACGATAGTGGTCATGATGGCAGGCACACGAGAACCAGAGCACATGACACCCCCCTGATGGATGGTGTCGGTAGAAGTCGGCTATGTAGATGCGGGAACCCCCTGGCGGTGATGATGGAACTCGAGGTTGTGGTAGCAAAGCACATTTGCGAGTGGTTGGGTTGTAGATCTAGAAATCAAATTCGCCGGATAAGATGAGAAGGCCATCACAGGCGCCCAGGAGTTTATTTGACTTAGCGTGCTGAATAATTGGCCAGAGCTTTTGATCGGAGGCCCCAGTACAGTTGTCACGGAAGATAAAGAAACAGACTCCTTCCTGCCCGAGAAACACGCTATCTGATGACAGGGAGAGAGGGTTGGTGGTATACCTGGCCATGGGCAGCCCGGCCTAGACGGCCCAACCCGACCCGGCCCAAAAATCATGGGCCGGGCTCGGGCCTAGAAATTGAGCCCGACGGGCAGATCGGGCCGGGCTGAGCCCGAGTGTGCCATCAAGCCGAGCTCGGGCCTAGAAATTGAGCCCGACGGGTAGATCGGGCCGGGCTCAGGCTTGCAGAAAACACGATTTTAGCCGTAGTAGGGGTGGGCTGACCGTGTTGTGTTGGGCTTTCTTGGGCTAGGGCCGGGCTCAGCCGGATTTAGTAGGCCCGATGGTCGGGCCAGGCTAGGGCTGGGTTTTTAGCACCGGTCTTTTTTTGGCCTAGCCCGAAGCCCGGCCCGGCCCGAGATATGCCCAGGTATAGTTGGTGGTGGTAGTTGTCGAGCCTGAATTTGTCGGTGGAGGTGGCACTGCGCCACAACTTGCAGACAACACGGCAGCGAAGGACGTCTTTGGGGGGCAACCGAACACTCCAAACAACAACAGTGTAGTCCTCCATAAATCTACCGCAAACTGGCACCTAAAGACCCTGAAGACATGAAGATGAACCGACCCTGAAGACATGAAGATGAACCGGGAACCAGCATCTCTCCATTGTATGTGCAGCATGGGCACTTGAAGAATAGGTGCTCAAGTGTTTCTTCAGTCTGCATCTGCCAAATGGCACAGTTGACATTGTGGCCAATGTTGTAGTGGCGGCGTCCGATCATATTTCTTGTATACTCCATCCATTCCTAAATATACATAGCTCAGTATGTAGTCCATATTAAAATCTCTAAAAAGACTTATATTTAGGAATAGAGGGAATAGTAGTTAGTCAAGATGAAAAGCCAGGTTTTGAACATATACTAGTTTGCTGGCATCATTGTTGGAAATATGAGCAAATTACTACGAGATTTAATCCGAATAAACAGAAGATAAATCATGACCACAGCAGCAGATATTAAACTAATCATGCGAACTAGCATAGCAGATGAACATATCACATCTAGGGCACATACTAGAAGCATGAATTCTACCACGATCTCGAACAGGAAGGATAGAATCACATACGGTGCAGCGGGTGCAGCACCGCCGGCGTTGACGTTGTCGCCCATGTCGTCGAGGACGAGGTTGCCGAGGTCGGGGAAGAAGTCGTCGTTCGCGAAGTCGTCACTGCCAGCAGTCGCGCGAGTGCGCTCCCCAAAAACCTGATCGCCCCTCTCCCGTACAGGATCACGAGAGGCGGGGTTCCGGAGGCCTGCTGTCCCTTCTCGCGGTGCACGCCGGAAGGAGGGATGAAGAAGACTTGCTTGGCGGCGCAATGATCTGGAACGGCGGTGAGAAACCATACGAAGCGGCCGCGGCTAGGGTAGACGTCTGCCTGACTATATAGTGCGGGCCGGATAGGTCGTGGGAGCAAACCCCACATCCGAGTCGTCACGATCCAAAAGAATCGGAAACGGTTCAGTAATTAACGCGTCCGTTAATTATTAATTAATGACTCATTAATTTTCCCATGCAGCAAAAATATAGACAAGGTGCATAGCTCTGTCCTCGGCTCGGCTCAATCCCGCAACCCGCGGCGCGTCGTGACGAGGCGTGGCGTGGCGAGGCGAGGCGAGCGAGGAGGAGGAGCGCGCGTGTAGGTCTCCTCTTCTCATGCTCATACAAGTGGTAGAAGAGCTCACCTTATAAAGAGGTGGAACTCTCTCTCAACTTCTGGGGTGGGACTAAACTTTAGCCTCACTCACTCCACTCACATGTGTGCATGAATGGGCCAAGAGAATTTCAGAATTTTAGTTGGGCTTTCGGCCAAAGGCCTACTATCAAAATTCCAACAATCCCCCACAAAGTCTCATTGGCACATCTCATCATTTAGTTCCAAAACATTGTTTTATATATCGGTGCTTAGTGGAGACTATGAAGTTGAACTTCCACTTAGAAATTTATGCTACACTAGATCACAACTTGAATAGTGGATTATGCCTTGAACTACAAGTTTTCTGTGAAACTAGTTTCACACAAATTCTTGACCGATACTGGGCTGCCGCAAGGCTTCCCCGCGGGTGGAGCGTATACGTCATACTCCAGGGCCT